AAAATAAGGTATGCCTATAGACTAATTTTTAATTGGGACATAGCAGAAATGCATATAGTTGTGAAAAATATGAAGCACAAATAGTTATAAACTTTGCACCCAAACCTTGCAGATTTGATTGGAGGATGTACGTTACCTCCACAGAAACTGGGGGATATGGGGAAGGAATGAGTCTTGCCACCACTGTGCAAACCTCTGATATGATGGAAGACTATCAACTACAGTTGGAATCCCAGGATGGTTCTGCAGCAAACCCTAATTTTCTAGGGTCTAGAATGGGAGGGCTAAGGTGGCAACTGAATCCAGCATTGTCACATGTGTCTAATCAATTTTTCTGCCTGCCTGATTCTATTTGAGTCATCTGCATTTTATTTTGATTCAATCTTTTTGCCAGCTAACACCACCTCCTCCATTTCAGGCAAGAATGGGACAGGAAAGATAATATTTCTCCAGAGCAAGAGTCCTGGGAGTGGGAGACAGTCCCCACCCCAATGATTTCCAAGGAGAAAACATGTTGGGGTGACGGGCCCTGCTTCTGTCTCTCCCACCAGTAACTCAGCCATCCACCACATTCCCTCCTTTCCTCTCACTTACCCCCTACTTTCCCCAGGACCTTGGGTTTTACCTTTTCCTGTCTCTATCATGATGAACCCTGATAATATGGGTTCTTAGAAGGGATTCAGACCAATTGCTAGTTTTCTCAGGTGAGAGAGGTAACATCCAAAAGTCACACAACTTCACCCACTTATTCAACCAGGAACACTCCTTCCTACCCTTTAAATTTTAGCTTAAACATTATCTCATCAGAGGACCTTCTCTGACTACTTTATCTAAAGCAGATTCCCACCCTCCAAAAAAATTATTCTTTATTGTTGCCCCTTTTGTCTTCTGACTCTTTATCACAATCTATAATTGTTTCATTTATTAAAAATTTTTTCCCCATCTGACTCTACTAGAATATAAGCTCCATGAGGGTAGGAGAGACAACAAGTGTTCAAGAAATCCTTGTTGAATAAGTGTACAGTGAGCAGGTACTATCAGGGCAGCTGGGGATACAGATGGGTAAAATGCAGTCCCTGTTCTTAATGTCTGTCCAATAGAAACAGAACCAGAAATGGGGGAATGCTATGAAATCAGGTCTAGATTCCAAGGAGGTATTTTGGGGGCACCTGAACCAGGCATAATCTCTGTTGGGCTTTTGCTACCAACTGCTTAGAACCCCAAATAAATCACCCGGCTGGCCCTGCCAGCTGACTCAGGCCTGAACCCTGACCAGCCCAGAAGCATCAGGAGCTGACAACTAATTCTGTAGAGTGTGTGCTTAGACTATCCTGGGCCCATTACCCTTTCCAGTGAAACAAGGTCTGCCAGTCAGTTTCAGGTCCAGCTGATGGCCCAGTCCATGCTCATTAAGACCTCAGGCAACCCCACTACCTTTAAGTCCAGCCTCCAGTCTTTTGCCTGGTCCTCTAAGAGTTTTGAAAGAGAACCTGTGCAGTTTTAAGGAAGATGACACCTGCCTAGCCCTCTGGATTAGTGGGGTGACAGATGTCCCAGCTGGGTAGCCTTCATATCTAAAGGGCAGGTGGACTGTCCCACATGGCTCAGAAAAAGCCAGTGTTGTGGACTGTAAAAGGCTAACAGGAGAGACTGGAAGGGAAAACAGCAGGAAAAGGAGGAGGTAGGAAGCCGATGAGAATCCCTTTCTTTGAAAGGAAGGAGTACAGAGCCTCTGCTGGCTCTTCTGGGAGGAGTTCACCCTTCAGCCCACTCTTCTCCCTACAGTGGGGCAAAATGGGAGCTGCTGCTGCTGCTTCTCAAAGCTCACAGCAAGCAAGAAACCTTTTTTCCTGTCCTTTCCACATTCACCACTCCTTCCTCCAGTAGCCAAAAAGGAAGGCTCAGGTTCCCAGCAGCCTGAACCTTCTCTCCAGATGTGAGGCTTCAAGCTAAATGCTGAACCCACCCAAAGGCCCTGACTTACCCTATACCCTGTTTCCAGGGTTGGCTTGTCAGGAGTTAGCCAGAGTCCTCCAGAATTTCCCAGATCATTCCCTACTGCAGCCAGGCTGACCATGCCTCTGCCCACGTTTTTTAATCCATCAGGGAATAACCAAAAAGACTTTTAACACCCCAGAGGAGAGGAGTCACAGATCACATTTAGTTCCTATCCCCATTCCTCTTCTACAGTTGCCCAGGTCAGGAATTATCTCCAATTTAATTCAGAGGGGTTAAGTAATTTGCCTAAGGTCACACAGTGGGAAAGGGACAAAAACTTGTGACTCCTGCCCAGCAGTTTGGCAGGTGCTCAAATACTCTTTGTGGAAAGGGTGAAATCTGTTTGTTCATTTCGCTGGCCTGTGGGTTCCTCTGTGTGTTGGGGGAGGGGGTTGTGTGTGCGAGAGGGAAGCTGTTCTCCTTCCTAATGAACTTTTATCTCCTCAGTTCATTCTCATTTCCAAAGTTACTGTATTTATTATCAGAGGAATGCCCCCTCCCCCAAGAGCAATGAAGAGTAGGTCTAATGTTTTCCTTCTCGAAAGAGCAAAGACCAAAACAATCCAATGAAGAATCTCACTTTCCCCTAAAATATACATCCTCAAAGCAAACCCCAAAGCACCACCCGAGTCCCTACGCTGTCCGCAAACGCCCCCATACACCCGCCACGCCACATTGCGTGGGGAGGCGTCGGGGAGGGGGCGCGGAGCGCGGGCCGCGCGGCAGGGAGCCGGTGGGCGCCGGGCGCGCAGCCAGGCTGGGCCGCTCGGCGGGGGCCGGCCGCCCCTCGCCACGTGGTGGTGGCCGCGGCGGGGTCCGTGGCGCCTTCCCAGCCAGAGAAACCCGGAGCAGCCGGGGAGGAGGAGGAGGCGGCGGCGGCGGCGGCGGCGGAGGAGGAGCGGGGCGGGAGCGAGGGAGGGGGGGCTGGGGGGAGGGGTGGGGGGTGGGGAGAGACCCGGCGGCGGCGACAGGGCGAGAGCGGAGCGCGGTGCCAGGGGGGTGGGGGCACCGGTGCCCGTCTGGGGAGGGAGCAGGCGGAGGGGGTAAGCTGCGATTACCAGCAGGAACCGGCAGCAGCTGTGAGTCCCGGCAGGGCTGGGCGGGGGGAGGGGAGCGGCGCCTAGGGTCGGCCCCCGGGGGTCGCGGGGTGGGCTGGAGAGGAGGTTGGCCCGCAGCTGGTCCAGGGTAGCGGGGAGGGGAAGGGTCCGGCGTCGGCCGTTCGCGTTCCCCCTTTCCCCCCTCCTCCGCCGCTTCTCAGGCCGCACCGCGTCCGGAGCCCCTTCCCCGGCCCCGGGAGGTGAACTAGGGGCCCGGGGCTCGGCGGCAGTGGGGGAGGGGGCTGCCTGGTCTCGGCCTCTGAGAGGGGAGGGGCGACAATTTCTGTCGGCCGAGCTAAAGGGGTTTAAAGGGCGGCTCTTAAAGGGGCCGCAGAAGGGGCCCGGGCCGAGGAGGCACCCCTTCCCCATCCGCCTGTCGTCGCGCTCGCGCGGGGCCGCTGGGCCGAAGGGAGAGAATGCAGAGAAAGCAAACGCGGGTCGCGATCGCCCTAGCGGCAAAGCCCCAGCTCGTGGGGTTGGGATCGAGGTGGCGGGGCGGGGGTCGGGGGTGTGGTGAGCGCTGGTGAGCGGAGCTGGGGGAGAGGGGATAGGCTTGGAGAGGAGAGGGTTAAAGGTGGGGCCAGCCCTACAAACACGCGCACACACTTCTTACTCAGACCCGGTCACACGCGTTTCCCTGGCACTTAATGCGGGGCGGTGTTGGGGCCTGGGCCCGAGTCCTCTCCACCCAAGGCTTTTGCTGCCGGGCTTTGGGAGGTCGCGGACCCCACTGCCGCAACTCACACCTCAGGAGCCCCCTCTCTTACGCGCACACATGCTCCGGCGCGCGCGCACACCTCGGACATTCCCATAGTGCCTCACGTGACACACGGCCCCGAACGTGCCCACCCTTCACACACGCTCACGCACGCGTGCACACACGCACACACAAACACTCACGGCCTCCCGGTCACTTCCCCCTCCGTCCGACCCCCGCCTGCATACCCGCTTAAGGCGCTCATTGACTATGATACACCTACACTCATTCACAGACACACACTCCCCCCACACACGCCAGCCACAGGCACACATTCATAAACAGGGCCGGGAGAAGTACACACGCACCCCCTCGCCTACTCTTTCGGGAGCCCTGAGTCATTCCTGCCCCCTCCCAGGGCTCCCCACTTCCCTGTGTGCTGGCACACAGGCCGGGCTTAGGAATTCTTTGTCTGCCCTCTTCACCTGAGCCTGGCGGCCCTCTCCCAGAGCCCCCTCCCCTTCTGTGTTCCCTCAGACACTCAGCCGAGGACTTCCTGTGGGTCCCAGGTCAGGGGTGAGGAGGGCCTGGAGGGTTGCCACAAACCCAGTGTGAGTTGGGGAGGCGCTTCCTTTTCCTGAACTCTGGGATCCTACAGGAGGAAGCTGGGAAGTTGGGCGGGGGCCCAGCAGAGGATGTGCTGACAGTGGTGGGGCTGACCCTCCCAGAAGCACTGGGCCTTCCTTAGGGAGGAGCCAGGGGTGCCGGAGGCCGGGCATGAGGAGCTTGTCAGAGAGGTATTTGGGGAAGTGAGGCTTGGGGTGGGGAGGGGGCTGAGGAGTCAGTCAAGGCAGGCCTCATCTGGGCCCCCTGTGCTGGGAAGGCAGCGCTCTCCTGTCCACAGGTCTCCCTGGGTTCCGGAAAGAGTCCTTCTCTGCTTCTGGCTTTGCTTACTTGTCCCTATTTGTCACCGCTCTCCCTGTCCCCCGCAAGTCTTACTTGCCTCTGGTCCCAGCCCCTTCCCCAGGGCAGCAGAGAAGGGAAGATGGGGTTGGGAGGGAACTGTGAGACACAGGTTTCATCTCAGCTGGCCACAGAGCTCCTCGGGCCAGGACAAGGGGTGTTGGGACAAGCTCTGGGCCCCCCTCCCCACCGTTGCTCCTGCTCTCCCAGGAGGCCCAGGGCGGGCCGTGGCCCAGGCCCTTGCCATGGAGTCCATGTTTGAGGATGACATCAGCATCCTGACCCAGGAGGCCCTGGGGCCCAGTGAGGTGTGGCTGGATGCCCCTGGAGACCCCTCGCTGGGGGAGGACATGTGCTCTGCCTCCCACTTTGCCCTGATCACGGCCTATGGAGACATCAAGGAGAGGCTGGGGGGCCTGGAGAGGGAGAATGCCACCCTCCGCCGCCGCCTCAAAGTCTACGAGATTAAGGTCAGAACCTGGGGGTGATGGGGGTCTGACTGTGTGTGTGGCAGGGGAGGGGGCTGCTGGAGATCCAGCTTAGACTCCAGGGATCCGAAAGAGGGGTCTGGGGCACTCGAGGATCCCTCATGAGGGTTGTGGCTGCTCTGGATGGATGGGGACTCTGGAGAGCCCAGCACCAATCAGGAAGGGATCAGGAGGATTCCTCTTAGGAACACTAGACCTTAGATCTAAAAAGATCTGGTTTGTGGGAGACGCCTTCTGGGCCGTGGGAATCGGGATGAACAGATCCCACTGGAGCTGGGAGGGAGAGGCTAGAACTCTGAGTCAGGTTGTGGGATGGGGACACAGCTAGGCTGAAGCTCTTCTGAGGGCCTACCTCATTTGCAGTACCCACTGATCAGTGACTTTGGGGAGGAGCATGGTTTCTCTCTATATGAAATCAAGGATGGTTCCCTGCTGGAGGTGGAGAAAGTCAGCTTGCAGCAACGGCTCAACCAGTTCCAGCATGAGGTGAGCCCTCCCTGAGTTTTTGCTCCACTCCATCTCTGATAATCCCCAACCCCAGCCTCTGGCCTTCCATCTCTTTGATCAGAGATGGCCATGGCCCTCCATAGTACCAGCTTCAACTCCACCTGCCCCTCCACTGGGTGCTGGCAGTGGGGGTGGGAGGCACAGGGTGCTGCTCTGTCCCCAAGTCAAGGTAGGCCTGACTGTGGCTGCCCTCTACCCTCTCTGGGCCTCATCCAGTTGCAGAAAAACAAGGAGCAGGAAGAACAGCTTGGGGAGATGATCCAGGCTTATGAGAAGCTCTGCGTGGAGAAGAGTGACCTGGAGACGGAACTGGGAGAGATGGTAAGGTCCAGGGAGCCTGGGTGCTTGAGGGTGTGACCTTGGCTGTGTGCTTGTGGTACGCACTCCGTGTGTTCATGTCTGTCTGTGAGTGTCCACATCTGGTGAGTGGGGTTGTGTGTGTCATACAAGTTGTGAGCAACTCTGTGTACATCCTGACTCTGCAGTGACAGAAGATGACTATGTGAGTGGCCCTGTAGAACACTGTGAGTCTGTGTGTATGTTTAGGTCTCATGCTGGGTTGACCCTATGCCTATAGCACTGTGCTGGAAGGGTGTATGGGTGGGGGCAGAGGGGACTGGAAGTGTTTGTGATTGCTGGGATGGGCCTTGGCCTGTGTGTGATTCTAAGTCACGGTATGGCCATGCTGGTCAGCAAATGGGCAGGTGTCAACCAGGAGACATGGTCTCTGACTGGCTCCTAGCTGGGTCAAGTCATTTAGCTTCTGTCCTGCCTCTGAGAAGTGGGGCAAATAATAACAACCTTGCTGAGCTGTTACGGGACATTCATGTAAAAATGCCTTGACTTAATCGCAAACACTTACATGGCACTTACCTGTGTGCCAGGCATAATTCTTATCTCTTCAGGTATATTTACTGATTTTAATCCTTGTAACAAACTGACCTCAGAGGTAGGTGTGGTTAGCCCCATATTACAGATGAGGTACACAAAGCCCAGAGTAGTTACATCACACATACAAATGGAAGCTTTTATGCTCTTGAGGGGTGGCCGTGTTTGGATAGGGGGCTGTTTTTAGAAGTGTTTCTGCGTGTTAGTGACAGGGAAGAAGCATTAACTGTGACCTTGCAAGGGGCAGTTGCCAGAAACATCTGCATTGCAGTTGATGGAAGGGACCTTGTACTCATGGCCACTTGCAGAGTGGAGCTGGGATGTGTGACCTGGGGCCTCTGCTCAGTTTAGAGGGGTGATGGATACCCAGACATGGGGAAGTCCTGGGGGAGCCCATTGGGGTGCCCTGGTCTGTTGCAGATCCTCACGCCCTTTTCTCCCTCTATAGCGGGCCCTGGTGGAGACCCACCTGCGGCAGATCTGTGGTTTGGAGCAGCAGCTGCGGCAGCAGCAAGGCCTCCGGGATGTAGACTTCCCTAGCCTGAGCCCCCCACCTGCCCCTGCCCCGCCCTGTGCTGATCTGGACCTTCACTACTTGGCTCTGAGAGGGGGATCCGGCTTGAGTCACGGTGAGATCTCGGTGACCCCTGATTTCTATACTCCGAAGTCCCCCCAGCCAGCCCCCCATTTCAGCCCCATTGGACACTTCCAGGGTTTCAGATTGTTAGTCAGCACCCCAGTCAGTTCAGTTCAGTTACTCAGTTGTGTCCGACTCTTTGTGACACCATGGACTGCAGTACGCCAAGCTTCCCTGTTTTTCGCTATCTTCCAGGGCTTGCTCAAGACTCAGGTCCATAGAGTCAGTGATGCCATCCAACCATCTCATCCTCTGTCGCCCTCTTCTCCTCCTGCCTTCAGTCTTTCCCAGCATCAGGCTCTTTTCTAATGAGTCAGCTCTTCGCATCAGGTGGCCAAAGTATTGGAGCTTTAGCTTCAGCATCAGTCCTTCCAATGAATATTCAGGACTGATTTCCTTTAAGATTGACTGGTTTGATCTCCTTGCCGTCCAAGGGACTCTCAAGAATCTTCTCCAACACCACAGTTGGAAAGCATCAGTTCTTCCGCGCTCAGCTCATGCTGTCTTAAATTTCTCCCATAATCACCTCATCCCTCCTTACCAACTGTCCTCTCACCTCACCACTATTACTCCAGATTCTCCCAACTGACATCCTGCCCTTAAATCCTTCATTCACAGGCTCCTCCTGCAATTCCTATATATGCCAGCAGAGGGCGGCCCCACCCAGAGTCCCCCTTGTCTTTGGTTGTGATTGGGAGAGGCCCCTAAGGATGCTTGCAGATGAGAGTCTGACCAGGGAAACTCTTCCAAAGCTGGTCTTATCTCTCCCCTGACCTCCAGGAAGGTTAGAAAAAGCAACTCAGCGCATCACTGCCCTCTGCTCTCAGTAGAGGTTTATCTGTCATCCTGGGGTGGCTGCCCTCTGGCTGTCTCTCCTGGAACCCTCACGCTGCAGTTCTCACCTGTTTCACTTTGTGTTGATCTGGGAGTGGGTGGAGGGTGCCCAGCAGCTGGTTCCAGCGTGACATGGTCCTTTCCTCTGCAGCAGGCTGGCCAGGCGCCACGCCGAGTATGAGTGAACTGGAGCGGCGGCGGCTGGAAGAGGCCCTGGAGGCTGCCCAGGGAGAGGCCCGAGGGGCTCAGCTTCGGGAGGAGCAGCTCCAGGCTGAGTGTGAGCGGCTGCAGGGGGAGCTGAAGCAGCTGCAGGAGACCCGGGCCCAGGTAAAAGCGGGGGCACCAACCCTAGGCCCCTGCTCTGGCACCTGTGGAGCGCTGGGAGCGGCTGGAAGGAACTCTTACAGAGATCAGGGGTTTCCTCACTGAGTACAGACCAGCCCTGGGAATAGTAAAGAAGGGAGGTCCCAGCCAGTGAGGTTGGGGTCTGACTGTTCCATCTTTCCCTTAGGATCTAGCCTCCAACCAGTCGGAGCGGGACATGGCGTGGGTGAAAAGAGTTGGGGATGATCAGTAAGTCACTTTGTAATCCTCTTCCTCTTAACCTCTGCAACCCAGGGGGTGGCATTTTCCAGGTTCCCTCTTTGGTTCACTCCTCCCCCTCCACATTGTTTAGGGGCCCTGTCTTCCAAGCAGTCAGGGCTGTGTTTTGGGTTGCTTGTGTGGCTCTGCATCCTTCACAGGGAACGAGGCAAGGTTCTGGCATGCTCAGGTTCTTGGAGGTTCCCTTTGGTTTCTCTGGCACCCAGGCCTGTGTCTTGTTGAGGTGTCGGGTTGGGAGAGACTTCCTCGGCAGCTTTGCTGCTGTGTTGCATCCTCTGGTGAGTTTGGGGTCTCTCTGGGACTCATTTTCTATCCCAGTAACAAGGCCCAGCCAGTTGGGTTAACCAGATCCTCCCTTACAAGGAGGAAGGAGATGATGGTCTCTTTCAGGATTGTGGTACCTTGTCTCCTACCTCAGGAAAGAGAAAGCAGAGACTTAGGAGAGGACAGACTTCCTTGAGTTCATGCAGCAGCAAGTCGGGAATGAGAACGTATTAGGCTGGGGCGTCCCTTGGGGATCCTGCCATTAAAGAGAACCAGCAGTAGGTGGGAAGGGTGCTGTGTCAGTGGGGCGCCTAGTCGTGGGGCAGCACTGGGCAGCCAGGGAGAGAGTGCACACAGCTTGGCAGCAGTGAGCCTGGTGCCTCTCACATCCGCACCCAAACTCACCCTCTCCCACTTTCTGAGAAATAGAGCACAAACCTCCTTCCGCCTAAGCCTTCCCCACACAAGATGAGGAGTGTAACGCAGACTCCATCCTTTCATTGGTGGGGAGGACTGAGGCCTGGAGAGGGCAGGAACCAAGCCTCCAGCACATACACACCCGGCTCCGGGACCCCCTGGGCCTCCTCACCCTCCTGCCTGCTTCTGGTCAGTCAGGGGTACCCTCACCTCCCCCTGCGCCCTGGGGTGAGGACCTGGGTGGAGCTGTGATAGCTGGGGAGTGAGAACCTAGTTTGTGGGACTAATGGGTGGGACTCCTCACTGTTAGGGGCCTCTGCAGAGAGGGTCCACCCTAGCTTGTGGCTGGGGCTCAGAGCCTGTCCTAGCCTGTATGCCCAGACCCGGAAAACACACATACACATACATGTTCTAGAATCCTAACTTGCCCCTAAAGTCACACCGTAGCTCCCGTTATGGCTCACTGAATCCACCTCCCTCCCAGAAGACCAGTAGAGAAGCCTCCCTCAAGAGGATGAACCCAGAGAGAGGATTTTTGGTTTTGGCTGGAGTCTGAACAGCCAGGCTTCGAATCTCAGGGACCCCTCCTGGGATGCTGAGTGGCTCAGCTTTGCTGATTTCAACTCTCTGGCCCCAGGTTTCCCTCCTAGGCTCAGCAGTCCATCACTGCTGAGGGATGTGAGTGGAAGGTGATGTGGGGGAGGCCGAGAAGAGGTGGCATGTCCCCAGGGGCCAAGTGAGTGAGTGGGTAAAAGAGAACCCCTCCCACAGATGCCTCTGGAGGTCGTGCCATCCATGCCACTCTTCCTGGCCAGAACAGCCCCTTTTCCTCCCCGCTACAAGGTACCTGTCCCCACCCTGTCTCTTAGCCAGAAGGAGCTGGGCTCTGCTCCAGGCTGGTCCTACCAGAGGTGGCCTCCAGCTCCTCCCCCGGGTCTCCATGGTTTGGACTCTGCATCACAGCCTCGCAGACTTCTGCTCCTGGAGCCAGCCAGGCCCTGCCTGCCCAGCTTCACACTTCCTTTCAGGCCAAGCATCTCTGGACAGCCCCAGCTTGGCAAGAGTTAATTCTCAGAGGAAGTCCTCACTCCCCCGGTAGTTTTATTTTCTTATAAGCTCAGCTCCTTTTGGTAATAAGCTGCTTCCCGAGTACTCCCTCCCCGTCCTCCCACCTGAGGAGGCCTCAGTCACCTGCTCTCAGCTCCTTTCCCCGCACCAGCCCCTCCCTTTCCTTCTACTTCTGCCTGACCCTTCAGGCGCGTGGGAATTTTACATGTGGGCCTTCCAGGAGAGGATAGCTGAGGTGGGCTATCCGCATGGAAGTGTGAAGGCAGAAGAGGGGGCCAGAGAGGTTCCTGAGTCCAGCCCATTTCTCGGTGGGAACTCGTTGTATCCCGAGAGGTGCTCCCCCTTCTTGGCGTGGATGCCTCCAGGGTGGTCGTCACTTTTACCATGGGAGTCCTGGCTGTTCACATAGCCTTCCCCGTACTGCTGCTGCCTCTATTAGTTCAACTCTGTGAGGCCTCCTGGTGCTGAGGGGCCAGGCCTGGAGGCAGTCCCAGCCCCAGGGTTTCCAGGCTCCCCCATCCCAGCCCCTGGTTCACAAGCCCATCATCAGTGTTCCTCTGAAAATGGGCACCCAGACCAGACTGCCGCCCTCCAAATCTGACCTCGGGGCAAGATTTCCCAGCCGTGTGGTCAGTGCCCAGGGGAAGAGCCACTGAAGGTGATCCACCTTCAGTGACCAGGCTAAAGGCAGTCATGAAGGAAGAGATGGAAGTGGAGACCAAAAGGGTCCCAGCCAAGTGAGAGGTGCAGACCCATGGCCCCCCTCCTCTGGCCTACTCAGGGTCTCAGGTCCTGAGTGCGGCCTTCCTGAGGGTGTGGCTAGCACTGAGGGTGGAAGGGCTATTGTGGAGAGGGGGCTTCTAGAAGGGGCTCAGTGAGGGGACACAGGGTCAGTGAAGGAGGGGGCTCACCCATGAGGGGAGCACTGTGAGAAGATGGGGGTTCAGCACGAGTGATGAGGGGGAAAACTATAGGCCTTTTTTCCCAACATGGGGGGCTCAGTGTTGCAGCCTGGTGCTTTTCCGCCCACCACCCCCCCCACTCCTCTCTCCGCCCACAAGCCTCTGCGTGGGCTGCGGTTAGTGGTAGGGGAGAAGTGTGAACTCTGAGAGAGAGAGGATGGAAACTCTGCACAGAGGTCAAGGGCAGTGTAGGGGGGTCAGGACGGAAGTCGGAGACCCCCATGTACCCTGAGCTCAGCCTCATGCCCCAGAGCCAGCAGGCCCAGGGCCTCCCCCTTCACGCTTCTCACCCTCCCTACTTCCTTTCTTTCAAATTTCCTTCAGCCCGGACGCCTGGCCCACAGAACTGAAGCCCTGAGCACTTGCAGCCTCGGAGCTCCCCAAGGGTGGGGAGGGGTTCTGAAGTCGGGGGCCCACCACGCCCACCTGTGGTCTGAGGGGTTGGTGGGCTTTGAACCACCTCTGACCCTCTCCCTGCCAGGGAGGCAGAGAGCAGCTCTTACCCACGCTCACTCCCTCGATGAGGAACACCACATCCTCCCCTCATTCAAACCAAACTCATTGAGCTGGTATCTCCTTAAATGGATCAAAACTGGTTTCCCCTTTTCACCTCCCATCTCCTAGGCGTTTCCCCGAGTCCTCATTCCAGCAGACACAGTGTGAGGCAGTTTACCTATAAAACCTCATTTGAGTCTGACCAAAAACCATGTGACAGTGTTGTCCCTGAGCAAATCAGGGTACAAAGACGTAATCAGAGAAATTAAGTGCAAATACCAGGCAAGTTGTGAAACGATGGGGTAATAGCCCTTCTGTGGTGTTTTCATGGTTCAAATTCTTGTCCAGGTAGGAGGTCCTTATACGAGGAGCAGCCCGATGATTTGCTGACTGATTAGTTTTGAAAGTGAAAGGAGGCCCTATTAATAATTCTGCCAGGTGACTCCTGTCAACCAGGACAGCCCTGGGCAAACTGGGATCTGTGGGCCCCCAGCCTGGAGGAGGACTCTGATTCCAACCCTGCTGTGAAACTTCTCCATTTAGCTGCATCTGGGGAGGCTTTCTAGACACAAAGACCATCTGGCTGAGCTGGAAGCGTGGCAGGGGCTGCCATGAAGAGCCGGGCTCTGTCGACCGCAAGTCATAGCTGGTCGAGGAGAGTGAAGGGGCTCAAGGCGCCTGAAAGGAAGTGGTAGATCGCTGGGTTGTTGCAAGCGACTTCCTCCTCCCCCCAGCCCGCAACCTCAAGTCCGCTCCACGGCCGGGTGCCTGTGGTCCCTCCCTGAGGGTCAGGCCGGGCGGGAAGACTAGTGCTGGGTGTGCCTGTGGGTAGTGGAAAGTTTGGTCCTTAAATGCCCCTGCAAGGGTGATGTGGCTGGGGGGCAGCGGGGGCAGCTATGGGCAAGGATGGGGGAGCTGGGAATGCTGGATTTCTGTTTTCCTCCTGATTCTGTCAGTCAGGGATTCTGACCGCATGACCAGCTCTGATCCTGATCCCATCCCTGCCTGTAACCCCTATCCCTCATCCTGACCCCAACTTGGTCTCCAGTCCTGACCGAAGATGATCTCATCAGACCCTGACTCCAGCCTTAGTCCTGACCTCGAGCCTGTCCTTAGTTCTAATCCCATGACGCAGTGCTAGCCTGAATCTTAACCCTGCCACATCTGCATCCTCATGGAGGCTCCAGCGCATCACAGGGCACCTAGTGAACCAGGAAGACACTGCACTCAGAAGCCCGTGTGTATCCCAGCTGGTTTGGGGCAGAAAGAAGCCTTCTACAGAGGCAGAGGCTTAGGTCTCTAACCTTTCTCATCTCTGTTGCTTTATCAATAACAGTGAAGATGATTGTTTCCACTTGAGTTGTTGAACTCCCTGAATTATTCGTGGAAAGAAAGAATGAAAGGATAAGTCAACAGAGGGTGGAATGATGTACAGGGGCTGGGAGCCCTCTTTCCTGCCAGCACTGCCGTTTGTACTCTGGCTTCTCCAAAGGTGCCAGCTCAGCAGGCTGAGGTGCCAAGAGCCTGTTTGAGTCCCTGCTTTGTGCCACTATTGCTCTGTGACCTTGAGCTGGCCTCTTAACATAAACTCTGTCCTTCCACTTCCACACGTGTCGAGCATCTTCCTCTCCCCTCCCCAGGCAGGGCTGGTGATGCTCAGGGATCCCAGGCCACTTTGGAGGTCCCCAGCCTCTTTCTCCTCCTCTTAGCCTTCTGTTGCCTTCCCACCTATCCTTTCCCCCTTCCCTGATCCTTTTGGAAGGCAGTTGATAGCTGAGTAGTGAGTAGCCTCGACTTCAGTGTCCAGGAGACCAGAGCTCCCATTCTAGCAACTGCACTATTACTAGGCTTTATGACTTTGGTCAACTGACTTAACCTCTGTAAGCTTTGGTTTTCTCATGTGTAACATGGAGGTAACAAGCCGGCCAACACTGCAGGGTTGTCCTGAAGACTAAGTTCTTAGCACAATGCCTGGCCTCTGATAAGGGCTCATACAGATTATGATTCTTTTCTGGGTGCTTCCCAAGTTCTGAGAGACTCAGACGGAACTTGTCCCCCATAATTTAAGCAATGAGGAAGCACCCAGATGCAGGCATCTGCTGCCGTTCACCTGACCCAACCTTCCCAAACAGCGGTGATGGTGGAAAATAGCACTCAGGTGTGGGCCAGGAAGCGGAATGTGTATTCAGGTGCACACATGCGACTCTTGGTTGTGTTGTGAAGTTGAGATTTTTTTTCCACTGAATTGGCAATGTTTTCTAACGTGAGTCATTCAGGTCGTTAGCGTATTTAGCAGCCCAGGCCTGTGCATCTTGAGGTGGGTAGTCACCTAATGTAGGAGGGAGGTCTCACAGTGCCTTGGAGCATCAGGTCTGGTCCCCCTAACCTTGCCCAGGGTCTCAGAGGCAGTTTTGAGGGCTGCCTGGAGCTCCTGGAGGACACGGCAGGTGGGGGCAGAGCTGGAAGGGGGGCTGGGCATCCTGGGCTAGGTCCTTCTCCCTTCCATTTCCTGCTGCCTTGTCCATTTTGCTGCGAGGAGGGTGCCAGGAACTCGGTGCTGGAAAGTGGGGTAGCTCCTGACAAGGGGAGGAAGGCAGGCAGAGGAGAGATGGGGCCTGGCAACTGAGTGTGGCAGGTGAGATCTCTGAGGCAGGGTGTGAAGGCGACGACCTGTATCTGTCACCTGAGATAGGCAGTGAAAGCAGATGCGGAGAGAAACTGGCTGCTCGGTCAGAGGGGATGTTCCATCTGTGCCCTGCCCAGAGCCCCCTCCTGCCCTCACCACTGGGGGGGTAGCATGATTGTCCGGAAGGCCCCCAGTCTGAGGGAGGAGGTGCAGCTCTGGCCCTCAGATCCCCTTGAAGTGGGGAGCCTTCCACTGGAAAGTCCCCAATTTACTATGGGCCATAGACCGGACCTCTCAGTCTGATGAGGGTGATGCCGTTCCTTCCCATAGACCCATGCTAAAGGAGGAGGGTGGGGGACATAGGACACCCGAGGGCTGAGATAAGATGGGACGGAGGCTGCAGCACCTTGGCAAAGGCTCCCCAAAGGACTCCTTCCCTCTGTTCCTGTCCACCCCTGTCCACCATCAGACTGATAGAGGGCACTCTCCCTCCCTCAGAAGTGGGGTTGTTCCCCAGAATCGCAGCATGTTTGTAATAACTTGGCTTTGGCCCAGATGGGTTAAAAATAGTTTTGTTGTGGGAGGGGCTCCCCCTCCACCCAGCTCTGCCCCAGGATTAATGAGAGAACAAGGCGAGAGCGAGGGAGTTCAGTCACCATCTACCCGCTGCACCTCGGCTTTTCCTGCCCTCTGAAGCCCTAACCTCATGACTTCCCGTCCTCTTCTCCAGGGTTGGTCAGACACACACACACTCTGTTCCTCACTCATCACACACACACACACACAGACACACACACACACACACAGACACACACACACACACAGACACACACACACACAGACACACACACAGACACACACACACACACACACACACTCTGTTCCTCACTCATCACACTGGCCTCACACCTCCCTTTGCTCTCTCCCGTTCACATGGATCCTCTCTTACATGTCCAGGGTTGGTCAGACACACACACACACTCTGTTCCTCACTCATCACACACACACACACACACAGACACACACAGACACACACAGACACACACTCTGTTCCTCACTCATCACACTGGCCTCACACCTCCCTTTGCTCTCTCCCGTTCACATGGATCCTCTCTTACATGTCCCATTACCATGAGATGAGAGCAGGGCCCCATCCTTGCCTCCCAGCTACTGGGGCAACCCCCCCCGCACCACCTCCCCAAGAAAAAATCCCTCTGGAGTGGCCAAGCCTCTGCCTGCCATTTCCCCTCCAGCTCCAACTTCCATAAAGTTCCAGAGTCCCATCTGGATTGGGTGAGGGGGCAAGATCTGGGGAAAATATCCCCTGCCTCCCCGGCTCTGTCCAGGCCCAGATCAGAGATGAAAGTGGTGACCCAAGGCCATGGCAGAGTCTCCTGTGATGTCAGGACGGGCTCCCTGGAGGTGTGCAGGCTGGGGTGGGAAAGAGAGGAGGGGCAATGCTGAGAATGGTAACTTTCCTTCAGCGATTCTGGGTCAAAGGGACCCAAAGAGAAAGGGAGAGAAAAGGAAGTGGTTGAAGTCTTTGCTGAGTCTGTTCCAGCTCCATGAGGGTGGGTGCCCTGGAGGCCTGCACAGGAAGTGGGAGAAAAAAAGGGAAGAAGAGGGACTTCCCTGGTGGTCCAGTGGTTAAGATTCTACACTTCCACAGTAAGAGGCACAGGTTCAATTCTTGGCCAGGGAACTAAGATCTTGCATGCTGCATGGCCTGGCAAAAAAGAAAAGAACTAAGGGAACAAAAAAGAAAAATGGTAAGAGAGGCTCAATTCAATATTGACTTACTGAACAGCTACTGGGTACCAGATCCTGGACAAGATGCTGGGAATACGAACAGAGTGATGATAATCTCTATGTTTGAGGAACTCCCAGTGAAGTTCCAGAATAAGGCAACTTTTGTTAGGTGCTTAACATGAGTGGTGCCCCCTGGAGGTGTGCCAGGCACAATAGCTGTTCACAGAGATCTCCAGGTAAAGGGCTCCCTGGTGGTCCTGGGAGTTGCAAGGCTGAAAGGAGCAAAGCAGTGGACCTAGGCATACTTGGGTTCAAGTGTATCAGTTGGCACCTCTGCCAAGCCAGGAGGCCATGTCTTCACTTACGGAATGGGGCTGTTAGTAGGCTGTGCAACAGCGGTCTCTAATCTTCCAAAGGTGAGAACTCCTCTGGCCCCCCGCCCCCATACGCAGATTGTACTTCACTATTAGTATGAATCCTTTGAGAACACTCACAGCAACAAAAGCTACTATAAATTCAGTGCAGCTTTTTGATGAATCTGTTTTGTCACCACAGTTTCTGCACAGATTAGAAACACATTCACACATACCTGTATGAGATGTGTTCAGGCCACAGACAGTGCTCAGTGAATACACAGATTCAGGGAGCCCTTGAAATCACTGAGGTCTCCAGCCCCCGCCCATAGTCTGGGAACCACTGCCCTAGCCCCAGGTAAGGTGTAGGGAACCCCTTGGAAGAGGTTCCCCTTTGAGGTGGCCCTTAATGCCCAAGAGAATTTCTGCAGCGGGGGTAGGAGGGTCTGGGAGGGGAGGGCCAGATGCCAGGGCAGAGGCCGTTCTTCCTCCACAGCTGTGACAGTAAACCCACTTCCCTTCTCCTCACTCTCTGCCCTCTGACCTGAGGGTCAGGGCAGGCTGCGGTCAAGCCTTGACCCGGGTGACTGGGTATCCTTCAGGGTGAACTTGGCGCTGGCTTACACGGAGCTGACAGAGGAGCTTGGCCGGCTTCGGGAGCTGAGTTCCCTGCAGGGGAGGATCCTGAGGACGCTGCTGCAGGAGCAGGCCAGGAGTGGCGGTGAGAGGACCCAGAGGGCGGAGGGCAGCCGTGGCCACCCTCCACTTCCTTCCCCGGTGTCCCGGACCGTTCCACTCGGGAGGAGAGTGGGTGGGCACTGGTCCCTGGCAAGGCCCGGGCTCCCCAGTCCTGACGTCCTCTCTCCCCATCACTCTCACCTGACCTGTTCTGCTTCTCTTCTAGGCCAGAGGCACTCGCCGCTGTCTCAGCGCCACTCCCCGGCCCCCCAGTGCCCCTCGCACTCCCCGCCGGCCCGCGCGGCGCCCCCCTGCCCCCCATGCCAGTCCCCTGTCCCCCAGCGCCGCTCCCCTGGACCCCCCTGCCCCTCGCCCCAGCAGCGCCGCTCTCCAGCCTCGCCCTCCTGTCCGTCGCCCGTCCCGCAGCGCCGCTCGCCGGTGCCGCCGCCGTGTCAGTCCCCCAGCCCGCAGCGCCGCTCCCCAGGGCCCCCCACCTGCCCGGCCCCGCAGCCCCGGCCTCCGCCGCCCCCGCCGCCCGGGGAGAGGACGCTGGCCGAGCGAGGCTACGCCAAGCCGCCCAGCCACCACGTGAAGGCCGGCTTCCAGGGCCGGCGCAGCTACTCAGAGATGGCAGAGGGCGCGGGCTACGCGGGCGCCTCCCCGCCCTGGCTGCAGGCCGAGGCGGCCACGCTGCCCAAGCCGCGGGCCTACGGCGGCGAGCTCTACGGCCCCGGCCGGCCCCTCAGTCCGCGGCGCGCCTTCGAGGGCATCCGCCTGCGCTTCGAGAAGCAGCCGTCGGAGGAGGAGGAGTGGGCCGTGCCCGCCAGTCCGCCCAGTCCGGAGGCCGGCGCCATCCGCTGCGCCTCGTTCTGCGCGGGCTTCCCGGTCCCCGAGTCGCCCGCCGCCACCGCCTACGCCCACGCCGAGCACGCGCAGTCCTGGCCGTCCATTAACGTGAGTGCGCTCTGGCAGGTAGACCCGGGAGCCCCGCCCTCGGCTTCGCACCTGGTTGGTGGGCGGGGCCCCCTTCCTTTGACTCCGCGCTCCTCCCCCGGACCGTGCGTCCCCGCTCTCCAGTGGCGTTTTGTTGGCTTGAACTGGGGCCGCACTCTTTAAAACTTGTTCAGCTTCATGGTTAAAGACCCAGTCTTCATAGTGACAGTCCTTGCTTTGATTCTGGACTTCAACACTTAATAGCTTTGGGACCTCGGCAACTTCCTTTCCTTCTTCGGCCCTCAGTTTTCTCATCTGGAAAAATGAGGACAATGATTTATTATCTGGTTCCATTAGAGAATTTTAAAGAGGGAGGCAGGGAACCTAAAGCACTCTGCACAGTGCCTGGCTCAGTAGTAAACATCTGCTATTAATTGGTGATGAAGGCCATGCTGACACTGGTCTTGGGTCCCAACAGGGACAGCCCTGCTCATTCAGTTCTGTTCATCAGGCCTCAGAGCCCCTGCCCTTTAAATGTCTGTCCTAGAAGACAACCGTTTCTCAGGGCTGTATCGTTTCACAGAAATAGTGAGTTTCCTGAATGTCAGAGCCAACCCTTGCCACCTGGAAGGACCAAAATACATTCCAAAGTCAGACAGAAAATTATTTCGGGGCTGTACATTGTTAGGGTTATCCGTTGCTCTGAGTTATCAGGGAGCTGTGTCTGAGTCACTCTGAGGGCATGTCTGGGTCTTGGCTCCCCTCATTACTGCAGATATCCTGGCAGGCTGAGCATACCTACCTCCCCGTTCAGCACTACCTGGGGACACCATGCCCAGGATTGGGAGAGTGGGTGCTGAACTGGTGCAAAGTGGTTAGGGAGGGGGAGGAAGGGGGTGACGTAGGATAAGAAGTGCCCAGATGCCTTCTCATGCCGCAGTGCTCCCTGCCTTGAGACCTAGGAAAGGGCAAGCTGGGATGTGGGGACTGTGAAGGACGGATGTGGACCGCAAACAACTCCTTTCTTTCCCCACAGCTGCTGATGGAGACAGTGGGCTCTGATATCCGCAGTTGCCCCCTCTGCCAGCTGGGTTTCCCAATCGGGTACCCAGATGATGCCCTCATCAAACACATTGACTCCCACCTGGAGAACAGCAAGATCTAGGGTGCCTCCCCCCACCCACTGGCAGTTTCTCCGCCTTCTCCCATCACCCCCAAACACACTCACTTTGAATGCTGCATGAATCTCGTAGGGGGCCCCTGCCCCTTGCGACCCCCAGATACCTCCACTAGCTACTGAGTCAACGTGTGTGCCCTCTCCCCTGGTCCAGGCACCACTCAGCCCTGGCTCTTCCCGGGAGGTCAGCCGAGGCTCTCCCCAGCTCCCTGGCTTCTGCTGGGGAGGTGGGATGGGCTGGGATGGGGAGGGGCAGATCCTACCCAGCCTCTCCTTCTGCCTTTCTGTTCTCAAACAGTTGGATCCAAGAAGGTGTCTAGTGCTTGGGCCTGGGGGAGGGGAGGGTATCAGAAGACTCCAGAAGCTCCCCCAGCCTCTACCCAGATGGCCAGCTTTCTCAGGCTGTGCTCTGTCCAGGGAGTGCCTCCCTGTAGAGTTCCAGAGCCTGCCCTGCACACTGATGCCAGTTCCTCTGTCCCCTGGCCAGGTTGGAGCTCATGGCATGGGCCCCCCCTCCACTGGGGGAAGCAGGCATCTTGTTTCTTGCCATTCCCTGTAGGCCAGCCCTGTTTTCCCCCCTCAGCCCACCCTGGGGAATAGGGAGGGTGGGAGAGGAGAGGGAGGACCCTGAAAGATTGGGAGCATCTGGCCCCAAGAGGCTGCGCTGAGGCACCACAACCCTCAGGCCGGGGAACCATCTGTGTCTGCCTCCCAGGCCCATGCCCTTCTTCTGGAGCCCCCCGCGTCAAGGTGCAGGTTGTTAAGGCAGATGCACGCCCCCCCCACCTGACCCCACTCAAGCCCCGACACCACAGGTGCCCTGGAGTCCAGGTGTGACTCAGCCTCCGTTAGCTGGGTGGATGTCATCAGCCCAGCCTCCCAGGCCAGAACCTGAGGATGGGCCCAGGGTGCTGTGGAGATCAAAAGAGCTAACCTCCTTCCCACACCCCAGCGACCCACATTCCCTCTGTGAAATCTACCTCAGAGTTGTACCCTCAGAAGGACGGGTAAGCAGGAGGCCAGGGGGTCCCCAGGGCTGAGGTGGGGAGCTTCCCAGGCAAGCGCCTGCTGCCCCACGATGAGTCCACTCTCCTCCACTGCGAGCCTCTCCCGCGTCTCAGCCGGGGCGGGGGCAGTGGGCACTGCGGTCAGTGCATGTACCATTCTGATCCAACTCTCCCAGGCCCCCCACCTCCCACACCCTTCCCCTCCTCCTCAGCGCAGGGGAGGGAGGGGGTGTGTCGGGGTGGGGGGCAAGGGGCCGAGGACTCCAGGGACACATGGCATTGTACCTTGAGTGTCCCCCTAGGGAGGGGAAACAGGGAACGGGGACTGGAAAGGGGAGGTGGGGCCCCTGAGCTCTCTGAACAAATTGAAAGTCCAAATAAAACTTAACCTGTTCCATCTGCGCTCCGTCTGTGCTCTCTGTGGCTGGGGGAGGGAGGGAACCCTTCCAGGCGGAAGGTCTTGGAAACTGTCTCAAGTAACCACAACCACGGGAGGGCAAGATGGGGATGCTTAGGGCCGCCGTGTTCCCAGGTGGTTCTAGAGACGCAGGCATGCGAGTGGCTACAGGTGACTTGTGATGTGGACTTTATTTGGAACAGATGGGGAGCAGCAGAGGGTGTCTTCGTGACCAGCCCTGAGCAGGTGTCAGGGACTCGTGAATTTTCCCTCCCAGCAGGTCTGGCAGGTAGAGGTTCTGTAGCCTGAGGATTCGTTTACCCGTAGCACTATTTTTTTTTTTTTCATCAAATGATTTCTCATGCCAGGAACCAGACTGGAGCCTCAAAAAGGAAGGAACATTTATTTGGGTTCCATGTCCTTGTGGATCAGAGAGCAGGGAGCGGCTCAGCGGCTGCCTTGAAAAGTGCCATAGTCTGGGAGGTCAGAGCCAGGTCATGAACCCGTGACTTCTGCCCCAGCTTGGGCTATGCCCTCTTGTCTGCAGAACAGGCCTGACCTACTTACTCATCAAATCTCCGTGCCTTTCATTTCCATGTGACACTCTTTGGCCAAGGATTCACTTGAAAGCAAAAGGCAGGAGCCATTGCTCACGGAAGACCCAAGGTCCAGCTCCAGACCTGGGGTTTATATCCTTCCCTGTTCAGTGCCGAGGTGCAGCCCCCACAGGGAGACTTCCCTGCTCCTCTGTTGCAGTTGACAACTGTAGCTGCTAAAAGCTTATCCAACCTTGATTTCATCTGCAGCCAAGTCCTGAGTGCCAGGGAAGGCAAGAACAGACATCTCCATGGGACATAGCTTCTTACAAGCCCTGGGAGAGAGGGCTCTGGAATCTCCGGCACAGGAGTTCCCCTGGTTTTCTCCCACTCCATGGAAGAGGTTTTCTTTCTGCCATGGATGAAGGCAGCACCCAGGTGTCTGGGTTTTGTTTGGATCCCTGGAAGCATTTGCTAGAAGGACATGAGAAAATTAGGGTTGGTAAAAAGACACAAAGCAAAAAGAAATCCCAGCCGTTGATAAGAAGGGCAAAGGATGACCCGGAATTGAGCTGTGTGGGGGCATGGCTTGTGTAACCTCACCTTGCCCTTGGGTATATGTCTGAAGGCGTGAGGAAACCCAGCTACCCTCAACCTGTACACTCCTGTCATGGGGGGAGGGGAGTATGGCAACGTCAGGTGCAGATTCCAGCAACATGTCTCCTCGATCTCTGGGGACGTGGGAGAGGGCTCAGATGCAGGACGGGAAGCTGCTTGGGGCTGGAAGGAAAGGGGAAGAAGGAAGAAAAAGCTAGTGTTTCCCCAGCCCAGTTCCTCTGGACCTGCAGCCTTTAACTTAATGCCTGCCCAAAGAAGAGGACTAGGGTTTGGGGAGCCCTGCCAACACTCATCCTTCTCTTCCCAACAGGATTCTGGGCTGCCATCAGACGTGAGGACGCTCGTTACTCTATGGGAGTAATTCAGGGACCCCAGGGCCTGAGAGAGTGGGAGGCAGAGGGGTCTGGATCTCTGGGCCTCTGAAGGTGAGGAGGGTGGGACTGCTTGCACAGGAGCAAAGCGGGGGAAGACCCTGTGGAGGCTGGAGATGACACCTGGGAACCCACTCACTTTCACCAGCACAGATGCGGAGCTGGACTTGGGGAGGAGGGGGATCAGTGGCGGGGAGGAGTCACAGACTCCAAGCCATCCGTGGCCTCACCTCCAAGTGCCTGAGGAAAGGCCGACACCCAACATCCCAGCTCCGGCCCCACTGCCCTCTGTCTCTCCTTCACCCACCAGCTGCCCTGTGGGCCTCCCTGCCTCATCTTTGATTTCCTCAGCCAGAGCTACCAGCCTACAGCCACCGCGCCCCTCTCCTGGCTCCCTGTAGAAGCTGTGCCAGGCGATCAGCTGAGGAATTAAGAGCTTCTAACAGAAGCTGCTGCTGTTGGTGGTGTGTGTGCGCGAGGCGGGGGCTGGGGAGGCTGGGGGGTGGGAAGCTGATCGCTAGCAAATGGGAGGGGTGTGTGGGTGAGTCAGCCGTGTTAATGAGAAACACCACACCCCGCTGATTAGGGCTAATGAGGAAGAACATAGGGGGGTGGGGGTTTCAGTCAGTGATATCTTGACAGGGTTGCTTGCTCCCTGAGTCCCATCTCTCCCTTCGTCAGGGCAAAGAACAGAGCCACTTTGGCTACTGCAGGAAGAATGGAGGTTAGACGCAGAGATGAACCGCCCGGGGCGAGGCAGTCCTCACTGAGAAGGGGTTGAACCAAGAGTCTGGGCAGAGACCGCATTCAGGGGAACCGTGAGAGATCCAGTAGGCTCCTGTTCCTGCCTGTCCTCTAATCTCTCTGTTGATTCACTCCAGAGAAATTTCTGGCACTCAGAACTGCGCCTCCCGGTTGCCTCAGTGCCCTTTGAAATCTAATGGACCTCTGCAGAGGGCCCTGATTAAGGGGGTGCTGCAGACAGGGCTCCGGGCTGTGCCCTTCCTATTGGCAGCCTGGTTTGAGGCATTGACTGTCTATGCGGATGTTAATAACCCAAGGGGGCCTGGCAGGGCTGAGGGCGGGAGGGCTTGGGGCAGGGGAAGGCCTGTGGACATCTGCTGAAGGCCCTCGTGGTAGCTGCCCTGTCCTTGCGGCAGAGGCAGAGGCAGAGGCCCCCAGAACCCGCAGCGTCACCCTGCCCCTCCATGCCGACTCAGCTGAGGGCAAAGGCCCCAGGCGCGCCGGCCTATGTTCCAATCCGCTGTGAGTGCAGGCCTAGGGGAAGGGAGGGCAGGGGAGGGCTGGGAGGGGGACAGGATGGGTGTCGGCCAGCACCTCCAACACCTCCTCATTTGCATTACCACTGACACCCTTCTTGACCAAGAAAATGGAGCCAGAAATAACAAGGGGGAAGGTGATTCCCTGGGGGGGCCTTTGAGGTTCTTTTTCCTTGCTCCAACACTCCCAGTGCTGAGGGCAAGAGGGCAGCCACCCCCACCATCACTCGCCGGCCCCTGGTGGGGAAATGTACCTATATTTGCTGCTCCCTCCCCAGGTTGGGCAGTCAGCCCATCCCAGCCCCCCACCTCCCTTCCTCCTTCTGGGAACCCTCTCCCTGGAGCCCCTCACACAGCTGTGCTGACCCCAGCTCTGCCCAGCTGCGTTGTTCTCTTCAGTTCGTCCTGCCCCCCCCTCAGACTAGGCGTTTCCCAGGGCAGGGCCCAGACATCCCCCGCCAACCTCCAACCTCGAGAGAACATTCTGCCTGAGAAGTAATCCCAACACTAGCAGGGGAGCTTGTGAGTAGATTCTAGAAATGGTGAGAGGTAGACCAGAGGTGCGACCCTGGCCTTAGGGTCATGAGGTGGGAGGGAGCGGGCACTCCCAACTCCATTGGCAAGGCCTCTGTCCACCTTCACTTGGAGCTATTGCCAACTGTTAGCTCTCTGTCCTCTGTGATCCTTGGAGAAAAGGGCCAGGACTGTTCATTTTGACTGATTCTCCACTGCCCCAGGGACTACCACCCAGACCCCCACCAACACATTTGGTGCTCAGT